CTGCCCACGGCAGGGGGTTGGACTAGATGACCTTTAGAGGTCCCTTCCAACCCAAACTATTCTATGAAAATCTAAATTGCTTGTGTTATTTCTGTCACTGGACTATATTTCTTTAATCAAACAGGGAAAGAATGAATAGATGAACAGTGAAGTTTTTAATGCCTCTGTGCAATGAAAACTACCAGCTCTACTGCATGTGCCATAATATTTGGTTGTTTTTTTTTTTAATCAGGAAGAAGGCTATTTCCTGCATAGATTACAAAAATAAAAGTGTATGTGCCACAGTACTAAAGACCAATTGAGCAAGATGCCTAGACCTTGCACATCTCAAGCACTACTAGTATCTCCCTGTCTTTGATCTACCGTTCTTTTTATTGTCAGAGAGCTGACAGAGCTTCAAAGTTTGTTATACCTATAAGGGCTTCAGACCAGCTCAGTCATCAAAATTCCTTCTTGAAACAGATCACAGGATGATCAAATCTTTCTATTAACATGTCAGTGAACATAATGATCATGCTTCCAGCATCAGGTGGTCCCCACAGTTAAATAATGTAATTTCAGCACTTATATTGTACAGTAGCATGTAAATGTTTAATGAATTCAAGAAAGAAATACAGTAAACTTATCAAAACTTACTCATATTATAGATAATACCTGCAAGAATAATGAAAAACATACAGCAAAAATAATCTCCAGTGCAGCTTCTGTAAGTCTTACAGCAATTTAACCAATACCTGATATCCCTGAAGAAACGACACAGTTCCCTAGTGACTATCATTTACTGTTTATTGTGTTCCAAGGGATCTTTTTAATCTCAAAAAACAACAGCTGTGCTATAATACTCATGCATTGTACATAAATTTTTGAATAGTTTTCTGTGTCATTCCCAAGATTTCCAGCATTACTTAACCTTTGCAGCTGTGAGGCTCTCATAGCCTTAAAGTGTACTGCAACCCATGTATCTTGAAGGGGGGCATGAGAAGGAGGGCATCACAGAGATGAGCTAAGAACTGTTGGATCCTGTCTTAAGCAAAGTAAAAAAAACAAAACAAAAAAAACCTTTTGAAAACTCTAAACTAGATCCTTACTTCAAGTTTATCCAAGCAACACACTTTCTTGTCTCAATGTCTAAGCAAACCTTTTACTTCTGTATTACATTTGACTTGTGATTTTAATAAGAACTAAGAGCAGCAAGGGTGTAGAGTATGTACTATTTTACCACTTAAGCATCTGCATGTTTATGAAAAATACACATATTTAAAACCAAAAAATCTCATTTCATAATTGTTATAACTGAAGAAAAAATTATCATATATAAACAGCTAATATGAAAGATTACTTTTCTTCCATTGCCAATACTTCAAGGTGACTTCAAATAAAGTTTATAACCACAACTCCATTAGAATTTGAATTACATGTTCACGGTTGTACATGGAAACTTTTAGCCAATTTTCTCAGCAACTTAGTAATTTGGCTTCACTTCTCTAAATGGAGTTTTATTTTGTAACTGGAAAAAAACAAACCAAGCCCCCCCCAAAAAAATCAGAATTTGAGTAGTCGATTATTCTAGCAATTCTGCATTGCAACAAGTGAAATCTCAAGTTTACAGTGTAGTCAAATACACAAAGTCTCAGAACATGCCACATGGAAAATAAGAAATAGTTCAGTGTTCAAACCTTTTAACGGCATCCTTTTTTTGGCTATCTATTCCATCCCACCATTTTGAAAAGTAAGAAATCTCAGACCACATAAATTTCCTTCGGTTGTCTTCTTGCAGTTTTATAACCATATTATTTAAGATATGCTGTGTCTGATCTCGGAAGTAATCATCAAAAGTCTTCAGCCAACCTAAGAAGAAGAAAATAGGAAATGTAAGTTGCCTTCAAGAGTCTTCGAGACCTGCTTTCTTCCCACTCCCTACAAAAAATTCAGTGAAGCATCTTCTTAAAAAGCTGAACTTGACATGCTGTGGGTAGTTCAAAGTGCTAAACTCTCCAGGAGCTTCTTTTTACAAAGTTTAGATGTTTTATTTCCTAAATGTATAAATATATGAAATATTAAGCTTTCTACTTTGTTCAACAGAATACACAGATTTAAAAAACTGTGGATTTTTTTTTTATTTATTTAAGCACAAATTAAGTAGTTGAAAAGGAAGATGTGCATATCTGCAAACTGATCTTCCTTGATAACTTCCACTAGGTTTCCTCATCTCCAACATCAGGACAACTGCAGCATCTACTAACAGATCATCTTCCCAACCCAAGCCCTATTCCCAACACACACACACCCAACAACCCCTAATCCTTCCCTCAATGTCTTATCTCTTCTCTCAAGTCATAAAGCACCCCATCACCCTACTTTATGTAAAACAGCTGAATGAAAATCCTTACTAGCAGCATCTTACACCTACAGCTTGAGAAAATTAAGAGCCACTAATGGTTTCCCAAAGACCTTGAGGGTACAGAAATAAAAGGGGGGCAAACGAAGCAGCAGTAAGCCCTGCAGCACGTGTTTAACATCATTTATGAATGAGGGGTTTGTTAGCAATGACTGAGAAAAGAACTATGTTGTAGCTGCATCCCTCATTACAAAAGGTATCAGTGAGATGCAGAGTAAAGGAAAAACCAGCTTTAACACATATTCAGACCTCACAGTGCAGAGCCTTCCATTAAATTCTTTAACTTCTCCCTAAAACCTCGCATGAGAAAGTACATGCATCTTCCTTCCCAGAACCTGGAAAGGGTATGTTCTTTCTGAAACTATAACTGGAAAAAAGCAGATACGCCTGTCTACTTAATACACAAGTGGCATATTCCTACTCTTCATACCAGCTCTTATCATGTATGAGCATTTTCATTCAAGTGCTTCCAAAAGGGACTCAGGAGTTGAGTTTAAGGAAGTATCATATACAACAGAGTAACTACTTAAGAATGCAAGTGATGTTATGAATTGGTCCTTTAGCATGCATCCACATTTCAAGGTTTTGTGAAAGCTTCCACACAATGTGAGGATTGTACTCCAGACAAATATGATCCTAGTGATACCACTCCGATTTACCAGTTCTGTTCTGCAGAAGCACTGCCATTCTAGCACAATGCCAGTCTGCTTATAAGAAGATACAGGATTAGGCAATTCTGGAATGAGATAATATTGTTTCAAGGCAGTTATATAAATTCATAAAATTTTAGTATTAAAAAATCATTTTTAAGTCTAATAAAAGAAAACCACTTTATTATTGAATAGAGTCTGAATATCGATTCAGAAAGGATATATTCTACTTTATTTTAACAATAAAAAATAAATTACATTAATCTTGGGTAGAAATGCAGAGCTAATGTAATTTGACAATATGCACATTCTTTTCTAGTTCACATCAAGTTATTAATTATATTTCAAATAAAAAATCTTGTAATTAGGAATAACCACTAGACACTGGCACGTTCTTACTTTGGTTGCACTACTTTCAGGTTGCACTCTCACTTTGTAAAGGTCAAGTTTTAATAAAGTATTCGGAAACAAACAAAAACACCACAAATTTCAAAAATGTCTCTTTTTTACTTTGCAAATGAGGAAATAAAACTATAACACTCCAGAGGAAAAGTGCTAGCTCAATATCTTTTTTTTTTAACAGATGTTTTGCATCTAGAAGAATCATCACATTCAATATAAATTTCTGTACAGATAAAACACTAGGATCTAATCTAATCTATCTTAAAGGAGAAAAATACATTTTGTCAAGACAGTTAATATGAGGGCTTAAAATCTAAACTTAAAACATACTTCCTTTAGAGGCATGGAAACAGCTTAATACAAAAAAGTTGACAGTAAATTACTGTTACACAATAGTTTCATGAAGACTGAAAACAAAAGTGAGGAATAAGCTGAATTTATTTTCTTTTCGTGCTGTTCTTAATCAAAATTTATCGTGATCTCTGCCTATTTCAGTAAGTTTTTTTTTAACGGAAGCTTTCAGTAAGTTTTTTTTTTAATGGAAGCTTTCCCTCAAAGACTTGAGATCACATGACCAATTAATATTTTTCAGTGCTCATTTACTTTTCAACAAACCAAAGAAATATTTTACTAGTATTTAGATAAAAAGATCCACATGTAGCAGACTACAAGTTTATAGCTTTTTACCAGGAATTTGTTCTGTAAGAGATATCATGCTAGCACACAATTAATGGAGGATGAACTGAAACCCTACTGTGTTTTTCCTATACAGAAATATATCATAATAATAAATTATTTTAGCAAACTTTTACATTGCAGCAGTAAAAGCAAACTTACACTGAATTAGTTGTCTTAAACATTCTTGAAAAACATAATAAACCAACCTAAATGAAGGAGCACAGGGCTAAAAGACAAAGCAGCTGGCATAAAAATACATTATGATGTAGGAAGAGCAGTGTTATCATTAGAGGTTGTTTTATTTTAATATATTCAGTTTATTAAGCTATAGAGGAAGGGTATAACATGGTTAACACACTGAATTTTCAGAAAGTCCTAGGAAATATTTACAAGTATTCACAGAATTAGTTGCAAGCCAACAGAAAGTCCTCTGAAATTTAATTACCATGCGCCTGGCATCTTGCACTTAAACATTTATTTCTAAATAGAACAGAACAGAATATTTTCAGTTGGAAGTGAAATACAACAATCACCTAGTCCAACTAGAGCTGACCAAAAGTTAAAGCATGTTATGAAGTTCATTGTCCAGATGCTTCTTAAACACTGACAGGCTTGGGGCATCGACCAGCTCTCTAGGAAGCCTGTTCCAGGGTTTGACCACCCTCTCGGTAAAGAAATGTGTCCTCATGTCAAGTCTGAACCTCCCCTGAGGCAGCTTTGAACCATTCCCAGGCCTCCTGTCACTGGATCCCAGGGAGAAGAGATCAGCACCTCCCTGTCCACTTCCCTCCCCAGGAAGCTGTAGAGAGCAATGAGGTCACCCCTCAGCCTCCTTTTCTCCAAACCAGACAAACCCAGAGCTCTCAGCTGCTCCTCACAGAACATGCCTTCCAGCCCTTCCACCAGCTTGGTTGCCCTCCTCTGGACACATTCCAGGACCTTCACATCCTTCTTAAATTGTGGGGCCCAGAACTGCACACAGTACTCAAGGTGAGGCTGCACCAACGCTGAATACAGCAGGATAATCACTTCTTTTGACCGGCTGGCTATGCTGTGTTTGATGCACCCCAGGATGCGGTTTGCCCTCTTGGCTGCCAGGGCACACTGCTGACTCGTATTGAGCCTGCTGCCGACCAGCACCCCCAGATCCCTTTCTGCAGGGCTGCTCTCCCTCCAGCCACTCCTCTCCCAATTTATACTTATGTCCAGAGTTACTCTGTCCTAGGCGCAGAATCCAGCATTTGCTCTTGTTAAATTTCATGCCATTGATACCTCTTAACCCCATGACTTACAAAGGCTGTCCAACTTTACATGGAGCCATAAAGATTAAAGAAAATCATCAAAAAGCTGAACAGAACAATGAATAAATTAATTTATAGCTATCAACTGTAAGTCTACTACTAAAGACTACCACATTAAATTTATTATTTCACATCTCAGTCCCTAATATCACATAAGAATCTAGTACAACTCAAGTTCATTTTTGTGCTTATCCACAAACTAATAAGTTGTTCCCAAGTTGAAACAAAAGGTTTACCAGTGTATTTGGATCAGGAAACTTTTAACACAAATACACTTTACACATGGAAAACATGCGATAGTTTAAAGCTGCAATTACCAAGACTAAATAAGCTAGTATCAGCAAAATAACACTTGGTGGTTTAAATCTACATAGGGACCTTTGTCAATATAAAAATGTAAGCAAGAAAAAAAAAAATACTGTCTTTATTGTCATCATGCTAGTCTTGAATTAGTAACTATTCAGGACTTTGCCAGCTACTTTCATTTTCTGCTAGCACATGTGACAGCAATAGAGGGCACACACTGTTAAGCTGCTTGCCTTCTCATTGCCTCGCTCATGTCTGTCCTCAAAAGTGTGGAAACTTGATTCCTCCCCCCCAACATTTATCAGCATCATGTAGTTGTCCGTTTTTTCACTTTTTCCCCCCTACTTTGTTAATGTAAATTTTCTTGGGTCGACAGCAGACTCCAAGAATCATGTCCAAATGTCAATGCAGTCCATTGCTATGCAAAAAAATCCTGATACATTTCATTAACTGATTTTGCCACTATTCTTGTCTGCACTTTCCAGTCCAATTTCCTTCTTGAAGCTCTATCAGCTCTTTGCACTAGAGAAAGGTATTCTTGTGTCTTACCTCAGTTAAGACAGTTGTAGAGGTACAGGCAAAGTTTCAGGACAAAATCAGAACAGAAGTTTACAAATTAGCATTATTCAAAAAGTAACCTAATTAAGTGAAAGCACTTTACAATTTGATCATGACAAGAATCACAAATCAACTTTGAAAACATGAAATCATTACAGTAGTTGAGCACTGCTTAAATGTATTTGCAAGGCTGGTTTATTTGTTGGGGTTTTTTTTGACAACATTGATATTTCTTTTGTCTTTTGGTTTAAAATTAACTGTTGAAATGAAACAAAAAAGACTTTTAAATTCCTTATTACCATAAGTCACCTGCCAACATTTAAGAGGAAACACGTCCTTAAAAAAGTTTCTAGTTTCTCATTAACTCTGTTTTAATGAAGAGGTAGATCTAGTCAATGTCTGGAATACTATCACTTGTTAGATTAATGCATTTTTGAGGGCAGTTTGTGTGTCTGATTTACTTTACAGTAGATCATAATCAATTTCACTGAGTCTAAAATTCACACATCAGTGCTGCTTCCTGCAACCTAAGAAACTTGAGTAATTTATTAACTT